AGTACTGTCCATTTTCTTATAAACAAGAGAAAATAATTTTGTACACTTGCGTAAACAGCATGGAGAGGGCTATCTTGTAATAATGGGGCTCTAAAATTTGTGTATAATTAGGTTCAATTTTATACAGATGAAAGGTATTCTCTCCTAGCCTTTGTGACGAGAGCAGGCCGTTTGCCCGTCTCTCGTCCGCGTTTCTCCCTCCCCCACTCGGCTAAGCGTGGTGGCCAACGTTGGGCGCATTTAAGTATGCGCCTAACACTTGGTCTTTTGTTTCAGCGCCAAGGACGAACCAGCGCAGTTGAGCGCAAGAAAAGTTGAAGAGCGCGGAGAGAGAGTGAGAGAAAGAGAGAGAGAGAGAGAAAGAGAGTATTAGGCCTATGCAGGGATTGGCAGGCGCGCAACGCGTGACCGATAAGCGACGCGTCGCGTGCCGCCTAACTAATAGGTCAAGGTAGGGAGAGGAGCGAGCGCCGCTGAGCGACTGCAAGATGCGCGCAAGAATTAGTGCGTGAGAGAGTCGCAGCCGAGCCTTAAAAAAGTGAGGGAGTAGAAGCATAGTCCTGCTAGAGTGCGGAAGTCCGAGCCCAGCAGAGAGAGAGCAGTTTGGGATAGCCGGAAGGAAGGAAGATCAACCCTACCGGCAACGGCTTTGCCAGCAACTGCAGCCAGCTCACCTGCTAGGAGAGTCAACGTCGCCGACGGAGACCTGGTCAGCGACAGCCGTTAGCGACGATCTGACCAGCGACGACGCCCGGTACTTCCTGCGGCAGCACATCGCCCAGGATTCTCGACGTTGCGAGGAACAAGAAAAAAAGGTCAAGTCTTCCTTTTCTTCTTTCTCTCTACACTCTCTCTCTCTGTTGATGCGACGACCGGTGCGCGGTGAAAGAGATAGCCTGGCACTCACGTGCCGGCTATCTGAAGGTTCGCGCTAAGATTAATTTGTAGTGACGTAAGTTGCGACCGGTGAATTGTCCAGGCGCCCACGTGCCGGGCAATTTACCCGGTATTAGTCCGCGTAGTTTTTAAGTAAGTTTGTAATAGGTTAAGTACGCGATTAAGTATTAGTGAAATGCGAAATGTTTATTTGTGATTATCTTAAGTGGTTTATTGTTCGATTTGTAGTTTGTTGGTCGGTAATTTAGATTATGTTATGCGCGCGTATGTTCAGTGGGAATAATTATTAATAATAATAGATTGTAAGTGAGATTTGATTCTTGTCTGTGTATGATTTATTTATCAACCTCCCCTCATTCTTCTCTCTCAATTGTCATGAGCGAAAGTGCCTCACTTACCCCGCAAAAGAATTGGTAACAAAGGATTGAGTTTTGTTACACCTTGTAAAATGAGCGTTTGAGATTGAGGAAACTTGGCTTATACCTAAGTTGTTTCTTTTTTGTGATTAGCAAAGCAAGCCTTCCTTTTCCTATTGTAATTTATGCTCGAGTCATAGAACACTTCGCGCTATGAGATACTTGGGCTAAATCACATCCTTTTTCCAAGATAGACTTATTGCTCTGGTTATGGGACACTTCACACCATAAGAAACTAGGGCAAAGCCTATCTTTCCTTAATTCCATTCCAAACAATCATATATATTTAATTGCATAAGTTTAATGATCAAATTCAATATTAATATCATTACTTCAATTTCAAATGCATTCTTACTTAATAACGCGAAAGAATATGAGAGTACGAACTAAATACAAATAATAAATAATAAGTAACATTACATGTCATATTTGAAACATAGAACAAATTTGTTCGTGTGCATGTCTTATCAAAACTAAAAACACAAAATTTGTTATGATTTGTAACTTTACTATTCAATTTATATAATTTTTGGCATAATAATAATGTAAATTTGTACGATTTTATGAAGCAATATGGTAGCCTCTATAAATAACACAGGTCGACAAATTTCTCACCGAGAAATGGGACCTTCTATGCCCGAAGGATTTTGGTGCGCTGAATCCGAAATTGACCTGAGAATTAACTCTATACGTCATGTTTTAAAGATATTCTAATCTAAAAGAGCGAAATAACACGGTTTTTTTTACTATATTCGAGGTTATTGTGACATCGTGAATAATTTTTTTTAAGAACGGGTAATACCACCACAACGAAGCACCCTTTCCCTTTAAAATTCATTTTTCAAATTTAAAATAGCTTTTCTTTCATCGAAATATCACTGATTGAGTTTAAGTACTTTCGCAGTTTTGTAACAGCATTAAAACAGCCTACGAGTATATAGCATATGTGAGGCTATAACCCCAAGTTGTAAGTGATTACATTCGATCGAAAAAATGTATACATGGGTTTTTGGGGATGCTGACCACGAATCTGAAGTTATATTTTGCAAATTTAACATGGTGGATCCAATATAGTAAACCAAAAACTTTATATTCGATTAGATTTGAACAAAAAATCTATATATTTATAAAAAGTATGGTATGCCGAAAAATTGGGAAAACCGCATGAGGTTAGTCGTTAAACAAAGGTCATATCCTATGTAACTTTCAACGAGGAACCCATCGGTGACCTCTGATTTTACCTTGACTTCATTTTCAAGGTTATTTCAAGATCAACGTCATTTTTTCATATGGGAACCCTTAATTTTTATACTGGAATCAGAAAGAGCGATAAATTTTACGGGTGGGAACGATTCAAGTCGGAAGATATCGTAACTCCTAATCCTCCTTTTAGCGCTATCCAGGAATAACGACGTGGACGTAGAAGGAATCTGTTCCCTTCGGGGTACTTTTTAATAGTGAGTTCCCCTTGCCTCTCACTTCGGGGTACTTTTTTATTAGTAAGTTCCCCTTGCCTCTCACTTCGGGGTGCTTTTTAATAGTGAGTTCCCCTTGCCTCTCAGTTCGGGGTGCTTTTTAATAGTAAGTTCCCCTTGCCTTTCATGGAAATGAATTTACAACAGATGTTCAAATTGTTATCCAGTCGCTTCTTGACAGTAAACAATCCTATTGTAGAATAATTGGGTTGCATTTTGGATCATCTGCCGTGGAATGGCATTAATTTCTTGAACTATTCTACGTCTTAATTCTTCAAGATTTTGTGGATTACTTCTGTATACCCAATCTTTTAAATACCCCCACAAAAAATTGTCCCAAGGGCTTAAATCTGGAGATCTTGGAATCGAATTACTTATAATTTGGGGTTATAGCCTCACTTATCACGGTGGGTCTGAGCGACATCTAAATAAAAGTGAAAGCAGGTTCCAATTTTTTTGCATATTTTTGCATATTTAATGCAATTTTATTGCATTTTTGCATATAAATATATAAAATTATTTTTTTATTTTTTTTGTTTGATAAAAATTTTTAAAAATCGATTTTTTCAAAAAGGGCTCAGGGATTTTTTTTAATTCTTTCTGGGATCTTCTAATTATTAGTATTTTTACCGAAATATGCAAAAAAATTGGAACCTGCTTTCACTTTTATTTAGATGTCGCTCAGACCCACCGTGTTATGCTATATAGGCTGTTCTAATGTTGTTTAAACACTGAGAAAGTACTTAACCCCAATCAGTGATATCTCGGTGAAAGAAAAAGCTATCTTGAAAAATGAATTTTAAAGGGCAAGAGTGCTCCTTTGTGGTGGTATTACCCGTTTTTGAAAAAAATTATTCACGGTGTCACATAACCTCGAATATAATAAGAAACCGTGTTTTTCGCTCTTTTTGGTTAAAATATATCGAAAACCTTACGTATAGGGTTAATTCTGAGGTCAGATTCGAATTAAACGCACCAAAATCCTTTGGGCACATAAGGCCACGTTTCTGGGCGAGGACTTTCGTTAAATTTTGTCGGCCTGTGTAATTATACAAATTTCTTTAAATTATTATCTCCGCATTAATAACATAGTTTACACTATAGACTTAAAAAAAAAGAAATTTTTAATTATTCTGTAAATAACATGTAAAATGGTAGTTTTAAGTTCGCAAAAGTAGCAAGGAGAGCATGAAACAAGATTTTACGTCTGCACAAATTTGGTATAAATACGCTTTGTCCGTTACAGAGAGCTCTCACTCGTTGACTCACAGCACTACCACCTTGTATTTCGGTTTTTCCATAGAGCGGCTAGATATAAAAATAAAAAAATTAATTCAGCTTAATTCCTGAGGAATTTATTTTACTAAAGGTCCTATGCCAAGCTAACTCCTTTCAATACGAAATCTTAGTAATTCAACTCTTTAGGTTTATTTCCCTCCTAACTAAAAAGAGAATCTAAGACTTCTTTTTTTTCATCTAAAATCGGAATACTAAGTTATGATGAGTCACAAAGCTATCAAACTTACTTTCTTGGTAGTGATGACTATAATTTAATTAGATTTTATAAGATCATTTACAGGTCAAATAATTTTAGTCAATTCCTACAGTAGAGATCTAAACTGTTATATTTATTTAACTATCTTCTATCGATCACGGGTATATTTTCGTTATGTCATGAGGCTTTTTGGTTTATATGCTTGAATGTTTTGACGTAACTTATTTATATCTTTATCTACCGCAAGTTAAACTAAGTGACCTTACAAGATTTGTAATAGCGATAGTGAGATATTACCATTTTTAATCTTTATAATTATTTTGCAATTTTATTTTTTAAGTATAGTAAGTCATTTTTAAGTAACGATCTAGAAGAATAGTGTTGCATGGTGCAGGAGAACTAATAATAACAAATTTATATAATGTGATAAAGTCGAATTGGTTACATAGTTAAACTGAAACTTTTATCCAATAATATGTGAGGATCTACACATCAAGTGTAGTCATTAAAAACATCGATAACAAGTGAAAATTACAAAAAAGAAGTCCAGAGTTGCCGTATTACTAGATTAGTGAAACGGTATCGGAAATTTGGGGTAACTTAGTGCTTAGAAGCAGGTAATTTTCTATCTCAAAATTTTGATTCAATGAAGTGATTAAAATAAGTTAAATTTAACTTATATTTCATGAGTAAAGCATAAAGTAATTGTAAACTTACATAATCCTTTGAATCGATGAGTTAGATTAATAAAAACTTTAACAATTGCAAGTAAACATTCTCCAATAACTGAACCGACTGAATCTTTATTTAAGCATTTGCTTCTTGGATATTTTACTACTTCATGACAACATAATTTATAAATATTAGCCATGATAATTACTAAAAGATTTCTATTGTAGCTGAGCAAGTAAACTTGGTTTTCTTCATTCATATGTGTAACCTGCATCAGAAAACAAATTTGTAAATATAAAAGCTAATAAAGATGAATATTTTCTGTTTGACGGACTCATACACACATTTTCCAATACTCTCAAACACCTATCAACCTTACGTAACTGATCTAAAAGTGATTCATTCCAACCATTCTGTGATATATTATATGAATCAATGTGTCGATAGCATTCTGTGATTGTTTTTATTATATGTTCTAATCCTCCAAGTTCTCGTAGTTCTTCTTTAAACCATTCTCCAGCTCGTTTGGACGTCAAACTTAATAATGTTTCCATTGCTAATTGTCCAACCTATAAGAAGTATATCGGTTAGTTAAAGATTAATATCGGATATTCTTATTAAATTTAGTATTTTAATAAAGGGTACATGATAACGTTGGTAAGAAATAAGGACATTAAGAAATATTTGACATAAAAAAATATATTCCAAATTGGTTTTTGAGCGTTAATGTGAATACAGGACAAGGGAAGCGATCTAAAAGCGCTAAAAAAAAACTATCACACAATTTTATAATATTGTACAAAATCAATCACCAAATAACAACAAATACTAAGACGTTTAATTTGTAGAACCAATAGTTCACAAGATATTAAATACATAAATTTTATAAAAGAATCAGACAACACCGAAGATGACATAGCTGAACCCACCACTGAAAAATACAGGCTCATAGATATAATTTTCAGTAAGTTTTCATTAAAATATACGGTATTACTGGGTAACTACCATGATTACATTATTGGATTATAACAATGATGCATCTGGATTATTGATTCTGCATAGGAAAAGTTATAATATACTGCGATCATGGCATCGAGTGGTTCACTCTAAATAAACATTATAAGTGTCATTAAAAGTGAAATTTTTAGTATTCTATGCGGAATCTGTGATCATATAAATGAAATGATTTCAAATTATAACGCTCGCTCTATAAAAAAATAAAATTTTCTAATACTGAAAATTAGATCAAGATATCTATATATTTACGAGGGTAATGATTCCGATTACGAGGTGGTTTAACCTGTTCAGGTCAGGTTAAAGGTCAATTAACGGTCTAATTCGCAGAATTCATCAAAGCTAACTTAAGATAGTGGGTCTATAGGGTTTTCGGATTGCTGAATCAGAATCTGGGGTCATTTTAACTCTTCACGGACATATTCAAGGTCAAATCCGTAGAATTCATCAAAACTAACTTAAGATATTAGTCTATAGGTTATTTCGGGTAGCTGAATTCAAATCCGGAGTAATTTTAAACCTTCAAGATTATGTTAAAGCTCATTTCAAAGTCAAATTCGCCAAATTCATCAAAAATGACTTGTGAGTCTACAGGGTTTTCGGTGCGATCGTAAATCCAATTCCGTGATCAGTTTAAATTTATCATTTCATATTAAAGGTCATTTCAAGGTCAAATACACAGAATTCATTGAATACAACTTGTTATAACGGGTCTATAAGTTTTTCGAATAGCTGATTTTGTATTTGGGGTCGGTTCGACTATTAGGTAAGTTTTAAATTCATTTCAATGTCTCCGACATAAATAGTCAAAGACAGCTAGACACTTGCTTGTTCCACACTTGCTCCACAATTGTTTTTCTATCTCGAAAATGTGTTTCCCATTGTATTTTTCATTGCTGAACACGAATCTGAAATTAAATTGTTTCGACAACTTAAAAGTTCGACAAAATTTGATACGCGGAAACAGAAAAAGTCACCCTACTGTTTTCGCGTTTCCTGGACGCGAGTTTGAAGTCAATTGTCATCACAGCTGACATGACAACTGCTAACTGTCAAATTAGCAATTTGACTTTAGATTCGGGGTCAACGACAAAAAATTCAATGGAAAAAACTTTTTTTGGAAAAAACATGATGCTTTCAAAATTTTTTAGAGCCGAAATCGACGGTCATAAGATTTTTGCTCTTCCATGATCATAATAAACTACAGTGCGACCTCAGAAAAGCTGCGAACGAAGCGAGGATCAAGTAAAAATTCTGATGATACCGAGGTTTAGGCGAAGAGGGTAGACGTGCGCTAAGCTACTGTGAGAAAAAGGTCACATATAGCAGAGGCTCGGGGAGAAAAAGTAGACGAGCAGGGCGCGGCCTTAGCAATAGGCAGGAGGAAGCTGGGACTTGATTAAGCAGGTCAGATGAGCGCAGTGGTGACTGAAAATACGACAAGCGAAGCAACGGCGCTGGGAAGATAGCAGACGAGCCCAGTGCTGTTCGGGAAAAGTCAAAGGAGCCGAGCGCTGGTCTGATGAGGGCGGACGAGCCCAGTGCTGCTCTAAAAAGGAGCGAACGATCCTAGTGTTGCTACGATAAAGGGGTATGAGTCCAGTGCGGAAATGTAAAAAGGCAGATTAGCGAGGGCAACGTTAAAAAGTGTAGACGAACGAAGGGCTGCGTCTAGAAGGGCAGACGGGCAGAAGGCTACGTCAGAATAGGACGGCCGAGCGGAGGGCTCATTGATGTAGGGCAGACGAGTAGAGACCTAGGTCACAATATGACGAATGAGTGGAGGGCTGCGTCCAAAAGGGCAGACGATGAGAGGGCTATGTTAAAACAGGACAGACGAGCGGAGGGCTGTGTAAAATGGGGAAGACGGGCGGAGGGCTGCGTCATAAAGGGCAGACGAGCAGAGGGCTGCGTCGAAATTAGACGGACGGTGGGAGGTATTCTTCGAAAAAAGACGGACGAGTGGAGGGCAAGGTGTAATAAGACGGACGAGCGGAGGGCAGAGTATAAAAAGAGGGACGAGCGGAGGGCTGGGTGAAATAAGACGGACGAGCTGGGAGCGACGTCGAAATGTGACGGACGAGCGGAGGGCTATGTCGGAAAAGGTAAACGAGCTGTGGGCTTGATGAAATAGGGCACACGAGCGGAGGGCTGTGTGAAATAGGGCGGACACGTAGAGCGCCATGTCTAAAAGGGCAGACAAGCTGAGGCCTGGGTGTAAATGGACGGACGCGCGGGGGGTTGCGTTCAGAAGGGTAGACGAGCACAGGGCTATGTCCGTGTCCGAGTCCGGAAAAGAGTGCAGATGCGTTGTGCTGAATGGAAAAAACGGCAGAGGAAGCGGTTGCATAGATTGTAGCCAGTCGAACATGGAGAGGCCTAGCAAAAGATTCAAGCAGTGCGGACTCAAAAAAATTGGCGAAGGAGCCCAGTGCTGCTTTAGTAAGGGGTCAGTCGGAGTGAGGGTGCGGAAAAAAGCTTAGGCAAATGCAGTGCTGACTGGGAATAACGGCACATAAAAGCAAGGGCGCTAGTTGTAGGCTAGCCGAGCAGGGGGGTGGCCTTGGAAAAGGGTCAGGCTAAGTCGGGCTCGAATAAGAAGGTGGTCGAGCCCATTTCTTCTCTGGAAATGGCCAATCGAGCATAGTGTTAACTTGGATTGACAGTTAACGACGAGCAATAACAACAGGCGGCTTGGGGACAAGATAAGGCGGTCATAGTAGGGTCTTAGGAATGTGTTCGACGGAGCAAGGGCGAGGAAATGATCCCAGACGACCACATCGCTAACTAGAAATTATATCAAACGGAACGGGTTCTCGGAAAAAGAGGACGGATGTGCCTAATGCAGGTTTGAAATAGAGTTAGACGAAGTTGGGTTCGGAAAAGAGAGCGGACGAGGCCATTCTGACTTGGAGAAAGAGTTAGCCGAAGCAGAGTCTCAAAAAATAGGGTGGGGCGAGTATAGTTTAAGGAGATGGGAAGGTAGATCAACGACTCGGAAAAAAAAGCAGTCAACCTCAGGGCGGTCTCAGAAGTGTGTCAAATATATAGAGATTTGTGTGAAGGGCAGATGTGCTCAGTGCTGCTTGATAGAAGAGTCAGAGTCAAACATGGACTTTGGTAGAAAGGCAAAGGAGCACAGTGTGGCTGGTTTAGCCGTACAAGACGTGAAGATAATATTGAAAAGACAAAAGCAACGGGCGGAACAGGTAATGCAACAGACCAAAGGTAAGCCGTGGTATAAGTGTCAATGATCAAGAGTTTGATGTAGTCGATGTTTTGGGAAATATGGGAAAGGAAGGACGAGAGCGGAAAAAAAGGTCGAATAACGAGAACGGTCTCACCACCCTACGCTTATTTAACCGTTCGTCAGTTGACATTCTGTCACCTCACACATAATTATTTGTTTTGATTCCAGTTTTAGAAGTTGAACGAGTAAATTATCACTCTTCTTTTTAATTATTTATCTAATTACCTCAATTCTAGAAAAAATTTTTCATAAGTCCACTTATTGATAACTGTTTGTGATGAACTCAGTGGTGTATGAAAATTTAAATAATTGAGGCCTGTATTGAGAACAACCAAAATAGCTAAGGGAGATGATTGAAAAAACAGATTTATATAACAAATCATCTTTATTTACACAGAGTATAACGTTTTATCGAATTATTCGAATTTCGTCTACTATTAGGCTGACTAGTTTTTAGTAAAACCTTAGTAGAAAAGAAAAAATATAAAAAACATGTAAATTCATATCTTCCAATCCGGATCGTTGCCAACGTCGTCATCATCTTCATCCATACTATCATCAGCCTCACCGTCTTTGCTGCCATCATTTTCACCATCGTTGTTCATATCATCATCATCATCTTCTCCATTTTCATCATTGCCATCAACATCAACATCATCACCATTCTCGTCCTCCTCCTCAACAACATCATAATCACCATTACCACCATCATCACCATTACCACCATCATTACCATCCAAGCATTGTTCGAAATGCCTCCCCTGTTGCTGAATACACAAAATAGCTCTACGTCTTATCTGATGTGTAGCTGCATGTATTTTTTCGGGTTCTAGATGCTGGGCGTGATGTTGGATTCTTTGTATCATGTCATTTGGGTCATTGAGGCTGCCATTGTGATAAACTGCTTCTTTGGATGTCCTTCAGTAAAAGTAGTCCAATGGGTTCAAATCAGGAGATCTTGCTGACCAGCGTACTGGACCATTATTGCCTATCCAATGACCGCCATATACCTTGAAGAATTAAAATATTTTATAAGCGATTTTAATATACCTGCGTAAAATTTGTTATGAAACCAATAATTTTTCTAGCCGACAGTTGTACATGCAGGTGCATGTACAGACATATACATATTTGGTTTCTAGCGCTGTACTGTGAATGCACTCTCACATGCTCCCCGAAGTATATTAATGAAGCCGTGTTGGTTTTAAAACTTCTGTAGACTAAAGTAGTACGAGTAATCAAAATACTGGCAGCATACGTAGAGATTAAAAATTCTATATTCAAAATAGAGTTGAAATAAAAGGG